CGTTTTAGTGAATCTAAAGCATTGGTTCGGGTTCACTTTATTTATCCTATTTTAATGTGTTGTGCACCTCTATGAGGTCCTAATGTTTGTGGAGTCCTGTAGCTCAGTGGTTAGAGCACTCGCTTTGCAAGTGAGAGACCTGAGTTCAATTCCCGGCAGAGGGCGAAACCTTGGGCAAGTTTCCTTACTCCACACAGAGCCTAATAATAATCCTCCAAAACCAAAAACAATAATAAATTGGTCATTTTCAATCTACGACTGTTTGTGGGACATTGCTGTGCGCAATTGGCTGCCGTGTTCGCCCACAAATATACAGTCGATTCACTTTACAGTGTGTTCTGTGAAGCGCTTTGGGACGTCCTCCCGACATGAAAAGCGCTATATCAAATGCAAGGATTATTATTATTATTAAAGAGCTGAAGTACCCTGGCTTATCTATTCCTCTCTTGTAGCTCGGGGATTATGAGATCCATTTTCTGGGGTTAATAATTCCTTCAAACAAAAAATGAGTAATAAATTGGTCACTTCAATCCCAGCTGTTTGTGGGGCACTGTTGTGTACAATTGGCTGCCGCCTCATTGCTATCCTCTACATCGTCTCCAAGGCCTGGGCACCTTCCCTTATGTTACAGAGACCAGACAGTCGTGACCTACGCGGAGTAGTGTACTGTTTCAACCCGACCTTTGGCATTTAGTACAGAGATAGATTGAAAATGGAGCAACAACATTGTGTAGGTGGAATTCATGTATAGACAAGGGTCAGGATAGAGAAGACGATGAAAAAAGACATCTATATTTCAGAACACCGGAGACAGGACAGTGTTCCTCCAATCTGCATCAACTTTACTGATTTGTAATGTTAACAAGTCAGACTCCACCTCTGTCAAACGCTCCAGGACACTACCCCGTGTGAAGGGCACTTTATAAAAGCTTGCTATTGTTGCCGTTGACAAGCTGTGAGGCGTTCTAACTTTCCGCAGCTAAATGTCAACTGGATCAAGGCTCACCTCCTTGGCATCTTTTCACCTCAGGTGCTGACTGCATCGAACTGCAACTTCATGGAGCCAATGCAGAACATTGGTGTCTTGTTCAACCCCCAGCTGTCCTTTAACTGACTACGCCCGGTCTCCCATTTCCTCGGCTTTCCCTCACTATCTGTGACGATCGACCACTTTGCCCGGTTCCTCCCAGCTTTCAGAACTCACCCCAAGACCTTTGTTTTCGACTGCACTTCAGAACATCCTCCTGACCTGAAAGGTGCTAGATAAATGTATATTGTCATGAGAGAGATTGCACTTTGCCACTGAGCTTCTGATAGATTGTTTTTATATAAGGATAGGGGTTTTATTCACATGGGAAAGTGCCTTGTTTTGTAGCGATTTAGTTTGTGTTCTCCGAACTATCTCTCTCTGGATGAGACTTCTTTTTTGTGAGTAATGGAAAGCATTTCATAGCCATTGTCAGTAGTTTAAGACAAGTCATTGTTTAGTTTACATATGACCTTTACAGCCCTCCAAGACGAGAGATGTTTATCCCATCATTCTGAGCTGGATCAGAGCCCAGGTCTTCTGGCTGAAAGAATAGATGCAACTCCATTGCACAACTCGGTCCAATTTATCCAATGTTTCTCTTAGCATTGATCTCTGATTTCAATAACGAATTTCTTTAATTTATAGTTTGGTTCTCTCAGTCCGTTTAAGTAGCAAATAGCTTCCAGAAACTTTCAATTAGTTTATTTCTACTATTTGGCTGTCCTTCTTTCATAAATACCCACACAATAAACTTCCCTTTTAATAAAACACATCTGTCTATCTGCTTAAAGAACCTATTCAGACCAACACTGAGACAAGCAGTGATCCAGTGCTCTCTGAGCCATTCGAAGTTCCAACCATCTGGTGCTTCTGTTCTTTCCAGTACTTTCTGTCTTTGAGCAGCCTGCTAACACACGCTCCCCACTGTAATCATCAGGCTTGCTGTTTGAGTGTGATCCAAATCACCATCAAGAGATAGTTTCACATGTCTATTCATTTTGGAGGCTTTCCCAGCTAAAGATCCTTTATTCGATTCTCATTAGCCCTGTTTGTTTGGAGTATCCAGCACCATATAATTTTCCCGTGTAACACAAAACAGACAAGAGAACTTGCTGAAGCTGCAATATGTCAGGAAGCCAGATTTTAACTCTTACTTGATCATCCCCATTCCCTGCCTGCCTTTGATTTACAATAATACCGGTCATTGCAGATGATTCCGTGCTGCCTTTCGCATCGAGAGGACTTCTCCAAGTGCTTCCCACCACCACCCAGAAATTAAAGGCACTATTTCCAATGCAAGGATTATTATTACTGTTATTATAATCACTCTGGTCTTAATGTATTACTGAGTTTGTTTGACAAATGATGATTTGAGTAATGTTTGCATTTGACCAAGCAGATTCATCTGTTTACAGTGAAGAACTGTATTGTTTCTGAGCTAAATATTTGGGGTAAAAAAATCAGCACTTCGAGGTTTAATATATAATAATAATTCGTTAAATAATAATATGTTAAATCATTTCATGAATTTCTGGTCTCAATCAGAGTGATTTTTTTCAGGCGAAACGCATGATAACTGGAGGTTGGTTGTATAGCAGACTTTAATAACTCTTTGCCCAAATTGAGATTTTTCTAATGTAGAATAAGGTGATCGCTCTCCAGGTCAATTGGTCTCTCGAGTTCTATGGGCGTTTTATTGGGATAATAAATGAAACCTTAAAGAGATGGAAAGAGAACCTTGAGCCCCCCCCCCCAATTATTGATGAGGGATGGTAAGGATATTTAGTGGATTCCTTGGTAAGCTGTTATTCTCTATTGCTCCGTAATATTCCGAGGCTTGAGAATCGTGCATGCTTCAGGCGAGAGAACTCAACACTCCAGAGGATTGTGCTTTGAGCTGTTATAGGTTCTTTTTCCTTTTGGTAAATTATTGAGATTATGGATTTGTGGAGAATGAACACTGACTTTCCAGAATAGCCTGTGGCTGGCGTCTTGAGTTTCCCACTATCATTTGCCTTGAGGGTCTGTTCTCTTGAAGATAGGGGCTCAAGAGCTGAGCTGTTGATGGGAGGGAGTTGTTTGTCAATATTGTCAATTACCATCATGAAATAATTGAGAAAGTGACATTAACGTTGAAATGGCTGAATAAAGTCATTTTACGCTACGGAGTTCAATGGATGGAAATTTATACTATGCAACAGTAATTTCCCCTTCGAAAAAATGCGCTTTAATATTTTATACCAACATGTTAGAATGTAGTTAGAATGGTTCTGTATATACTAGTGTTTTTATAGCTCTGACCATCATTCATGACGGCATTAGAAATTCTCTAAACACCAGGTTATTTCCAGTGGGTTCATGTATCTTGTATTCCCTGGGCTTTTGCTTCAATTCACTTTAGCTTCAGGCCAGGTGATACAATGGATAGTATTAATTTGCAGTCTGATGGATATAATATGCCACAACTAAGTAAGGTTGGAATGGAGCCAGGATTCAAATAGCTCAAACTTTGATGTACTTTTATCAGCGCTGGCAGTAAGCTGTGCGTTTTTCCTCTGATTTAGCATCAGATGAAAGAAGATCATACCAATTAGATGATGTGTTTGAACTCAAACAGCAGTGAATTCAGCATCAATTTACATCTGAAGCTGACTAATATGTGTACATTATATTAATTAAAAAGTGTCGGTGGACCATGCAGACTATAAAATCCAATTTGGGAAACACGTCCTCGGAATGTGAATAGATTTCATATTCCTCCCACGAGATCTTCCATTAAGCTGTCAAATTTTATCATGTATATATTACCTGAAGTTGTTTTAATCTATAGTGATGCTCTCTTTCTTCTCATATAATATGCAGCATTCATAACAGGAAATACACTGTATATGGTATTTAGTATTTGTTATTGTTATGTAGCAAGCATTCTTTGCCTCAATTACTAGACATTTATGATGAGAGTTTTTTTTAAAAAATGAATCCAGGATGCTTGATGGGAAGGAGTAGGGTATCTTTGATCATAGTACATATTGTCATTCTGTGGAGAATTATATCATTAGGAATGGGATTGAGAATTATAAAATCAGGTACAGGCAAAGGTGATCAAACACAGAATAGAACATAATGGTTCTGGAATGAGTTTCTTCTACCATCCATCCTTATTGCCTATTCTAAGTACATTTGTTGAGATTTTGTTTATTATTGATGACTCATTCCACGAGCATCTTTGCTGGCCAATGTCAGATGGATTGTGCTGAGTGTGTGATGTGTGTGTGTCTGGCACACATAAGAGTACAGACAGATTTCCTCCTAATAACAAGGCTCAAAAGGTACTTTCTTAGTGATTTTATTTACTGTTTTGAGTTATTAATAAAATTATGAATGTTATATAGCTATTTAATTTGACCTGACTATTTTCCTTATTGTCCAATTGCTTATTCTAACACATACTGAATAAAAAGACCACATAGAGTTTCACATTTTATACATACCCTTAATTTACTTTTTTAACAGTATGGAGTGGGGAACATTGCTTTAAAATCCTTAGATTTTTTGACATAATTTATCAGACGATACAGTATCTTAATGTCACAGATATCACAGTTCCATACCACTACATGCATACAAAGACATTGATCTTCACAGAAACAATTGTTAAATCATAAAATGCAATAATTAAAAAGACTATGCAATAAAATTTGCAACCAAAATATAATTCAGGAGACACGATTAACAATGAGTGATTTCTGAATGACACAGCCAATTCAGTTAAACCCTTTTTAGGTCAACAATGATTACTCAATTAAGGTAGAAATGCACAAATGTATTAGTCCTGACCATCTTCTGTGGAAAGACATGGATTCCTTCAAATTTTATTAGATGATGTAAATAGGTAACGCAAATAGGAAAATGTCTGACCTAGTGGTTTCTCAGTGTTATAAAACTATTGATCTGAACAATTAGCAATGCATCACAACTTATGTTCTACTATCCTCGAAAGTGTATAATTGTTGCAGCCTAACTTAAATGGCATCAGAGTAGCACACTGGTTGTCCAACGTATACAAATCCTACACGGGATTAAATATACAACTTAAAATAACATGGATTCATTGAGGAATGAATGTCACTGTTTCCCCCCGCCCCCCCCCCCACCGTTTACCTGTTAAGCCATCAGTATTTTGCTTTGTCGTGTAGACACTGAGGATCTGTTGACATTGCCATCAGCAGGGTTAACAACTCTTTAACTCTTTGACAGACAAGTGCATGGAGGCAGATCCCAACATCTGGCATGAGATGCCAGCGTTAAAGGCTCTCTGCTTAAAACTGCAGAAAGGCCTTTAACTATAGAAACAAGTGTCCAAATATTCGCATTATCAGCAGCCCAGGTTGCTAAATTTCAAATCTACTAATTTTCAATCAAGTGAATCGAACAGTTAGTGTGTACAGATGGAGGAATGTATTGACTGCAGTTTTTTTTATTAGTAGTAGTATTATTCAGCGACACTGCCAACATGGATCTAACACACAGGATTGTCTTAATAGTATTAAAGCTTCTTATATATTCATAAAGACAATTTTACATTAAAAAAAAGCCATAGATTCTCTTTAAACATGAGTACTTTATAAAGTGTACACTCCCACAAACTATATATATATATATATATTTTTAAAAAAGTGCTTTTTTTTAATGTTATGTTCATCAATGACACATTTCCCCGCACGTGGAGTTTTAATATCCATTTTTGCATTGTAGAAGCAGAAACGTGGGTGAAATTAAAAGTAGTTTTCTTGGTACTTATGGAACTGTGATGTAGCCCAGGGCACTTGATTCTCTCACATTTATGTCCGCACTTTGGTCTGCCTTATTTTTTTTTGCCAACTTCATTTTCTCATCAAACAGCATCTTCCCTGGAGAAATGACATGAGCTCTGCCTCATTCTCCAACCCCCTCCCCCCTCTCTCTCTCTCTCTCTCACACACACACACACACACACCCACACACACACATTTACTGCATCCATAGAAACCAGATTGTTATATGACAATATTAATTACTTGACATCAATCAGCCTTTGGTGACGTTTTAGCAGACGAGCAGTCAGCTACGAAAATCAATTCACAAATAACCAGTGTTCTAGGAAACGGACACCAATTACTTACATCGTTGAACGGAAAAAAAAGATGCTTTTTTTTTTACACGTCTAAACTCAGGAATTCATGATACGAGACCGTGATTTTGTTTTACTTTAATTGGCCTGATGGGAACCCGGCTAAAGTACCAGTAACGTTTATTCGAACAGAAAAAAAGAATAGCCTACTCTGAGATGGATGAAAGTTGGGTGTTTCATACATCTGCTGCTCAAAGTGCCAATGAAGATGGCGAGTGAGAAGAAACTGCAGAAGTAATGCAAACATCTGCAGCTCAAAACCCAAATACTTAACCAGCTCATGCTTGCATTCACTCCCACTTGCCTCTGCATTGAGCTGTGCTCAGATTGTCATAATTAAACTGTAAAGTTACAATTATATGTCAGATACATTTCAATAAGACAGCACAATGCCGTTTGCAGCAGGAAATAATAATAATCCTTGCATTTGATATAGCGCTTTTCACGTCGGGAGGATGTCCCAAAGCGCTTCACAGAACACACTGTAAAGTGAATTGACTGTATATTTGTGGGCGAATGCGGCAGACAATTGCCCACAGCAATGTCCCACAAACAGTCATGGATTGAAAATGACCAATTTATTATTGTTTTGGGTTTTGGAGGGATTATTATTAGGCGTGTGGAGTAAGGAAACTTGCCCGAGGTTTCGCCCTCTGCCTGGAATTGAACTCGGGTCTCTCGCTTGCAATGCGAGTGCTCTAACCACTGAGCTACAGGACTTACCGTTGGAGGTTAGTCAGGTTGGCGGGAGGAAAATCTTATGGGATAAGCTGGCAAGTGGCAAACGTTGCCTTGGCTACGATCAGATCTCAAACTCACTCCGCACCGCTTCAGCAGCAGTGTGGATGCTAATATTCCCCAAGCATGAAAGAAATATTCACTGGGAACACCCTTTGTCTTTCACTGGTGATTCCCCAGTGCATTTTTTTTTAATCTGGGGCCCTAGCACTTAAAGCAAGCTGGATATCAGAGGTTTTATTATGTACAATGTGCTGCCTAGACTAGACAAGACAAGGCACGGAGGAATCTACCATCATCATGTGCTTAAAAGTCCCCCAGTCTTGCTCATGAATTTGTAATAATGTCAGGCTTTTGAAACTGCATCTCATCCACTCGGTTTCTATACCAATGCATTCTTCCTTAATTGTGCTTTCACGCAGAAGCCCTCCTAGGACCAAATATGCACTCAGTGTGTGTTTTAAGTTTCCTTTTTTTGGGGGGTGGGGGTGGAAATACAACATCTAAACTTACAGTGGAATTATTTCAAGGTACAGTTTGAGTGCCATGTCTAACATTGTCCAACATTCATCCATATGTTCCTTCTGTGTTTGACTCTCTACCTCTCACTACCCAAAACTCAAGAGCTGCTTATCTTTTCTTTCGTTCTCCCTTTGAGTGGATTTCCCAGTGATCTGTTAACATCTCACAACAGTGAAGTTCATCAGAATGAAAGAACGAGAGAGCTTAATGAAATCCTGTTGAAATAGTCAGACCGAGGAACTCTGTTAAATAAACTGGAATGAAATAACTGTATGCACATGAGACGAGCAACACTTTTTGGCATTTGTTAGCTTAATGGAATGATCATAGTTTTCCCCCCCCCCCCCCCAATGAACAAAACAGGTTGGTTAATACAGATTCCGTTAACCCTCAAAGCTTGCGGTCAGCGACAGGTTTTCAAGAATAAAAAGTATATCAATATACTTCGTATGCTTTTCACAGAGGGAGCTAAAAGGTAACGTGCCACCACATGGATTCCTTGAAGCAATAAGGGACACAGACCGAGGATGCAACAGCAGAGCAGTCGACTGCTGTGAAACGTTACGCGTAGCAAATTGCAGTGAGAGGAGTTTTCCGAGTGGTTGTTTGGCAAGTGGGTGCATGTTCTCTTTGCTTTAATAGGCAGTCAGACCTGCCTTTGGTACCAAGGGTGAGTTGCACCATACTTCATGCAGATTCCATCTCTTTGACAAATCCTTTGGGAGTGTGGGCTTAACAATTGATCCCTTCTCTGTATCTCCACACCCATCTCCTAAAATGTAGACGCTATCGATTTGCAGGCATGTGGTCGGTAGGATTGGTATATGTTAGCTTGTGACCGAAATTCTCGACATCCTGTGGGCAGTGGTGATATGCGGGTTTTACAATGAAACCGAGAGGTGTGTGTGTGTGTGTGTGTGTGTGTGTGTGTGTAAAAAAAAAACCACAAAAAAAAAACAAAGTCCTTTCTCGGTGCTAGGAAATCTTTCTTAGCAGAAGAAAGGAATTGGATGATATTTCACACTGATAAGTTGATAATTAACACAAGAAAATAGAAAAGCATCATCACCAAAGCAAATTGAAGTTTACTATTAACCTTCTGAAAAGAGGTACTGTAAACAGTTTGATTCTACAGTGCAAAAGAGCAATTTCATAAAATGTGTAAACAGTCGCTTGTGTGTTTTTATATATTTATATTATATATTTGTTGATATATATAATATCATATATGCTTCTCATATATAACTGACACGCCTTGTCCCATACTCGTTTGCCTGGTATCAGTGTTATAGATTGAACTGATGTATACATATCCTTGGACAATCTAGAAGACCAACATTAAAGCCGTGAATTTCACCTCAAATTGCACGTACATCATCTTTTTTTGTAGACATGCATTTTTGTACAGTTACATTCAAAGGAATCTTCAGTTTCTATGATTACTATTGTGTTTTTTTTTAAAAAAAAAACCAAACCCCTGAAGATATTAAGATCGCTATACCAAAAATAATTTCTTTTAAAGTGCTAGGATTTTGCGTCGTTGCCTTCTGCTAAAGCCATAATGAAAAAATAAGCATTATTCCGCTTCTTAAAAATAAATCTATCATTTTTTTTGTTTCGAAAACTGTAAAACCTCGAATCTGGTAAAACGCGCTGAGATCGGGTTTTGATACAGTACGTGAACACGAGTCGTCTTTGCGCGATAAAGTCTATGGGGTCGATATTGTGTTTAGAATTGGAAACCTTTTGTGAAATCTTCCATTTAAAAGTGAACTCTGGGTCTGATTCAGGTGCTCCGGGAAGCGAATCGTCGTTGATTCACGATAACATAAAAGTTCAATGCTGTGCGAGGCATTTTTTTTTTTTCTTTCTTTTTCACGGAATTATCTTTTGACGATCAGAACAATAATTCGTGTGAATAGCCTTTTTTTTTTCTCTCTCTCCCTCTCTCTCTCTCTCTCGAAACAATCCACCAGCAGCAACTTAATGGAAAAAGCGAAGGCAGTGTTTGGGCAATTTGTCGCAGGGTTTGCCAGTGTGTGTTTTTTTTATATATATATATATATATATAACGTCAAATCACTTTGTTTGACAGACTGATAAGTCCTTCTTGTGCGTTGCATCGAGAGAGAGAGAACCTGTTGGTGCATCTCAATCCATGTACAGCCCCTAATCTGTCGCATTAACCGGTGCAACTCACCCATCTCCCTAACATGTTACTGTCCTGACCAGTGCCCCCCCCCCCCACCCACCCCCCACCCCACCCCCACCCTACCCCCCACCCTACCCCCACCCCCTGGAGTTTAATGCGATTAACTTGAGAAAATACACCGTCATTTTCCGCAATTTTTTCCCGCAACGCGCAATGTGTTTTTTTTTGTGTGTGTGTGTGTGTGTGTGTTTTTTTTGGGGGGGAGGGAGGGAATTAGCGAGTGTTTTTCGCAAGATCTTTCATCTCGGAGGGGGGGGGGGGCGGGTATTAGGACGGCAGTGCTCGAAGGGTTAACAGAGGAAATGTTTAGCAAACACTACAAATTCTACAGCCAAACGCCGCCTAATCGCGACTAAAATAAGTTGCATTCTCAGTGCAAGCGGTTTTTTTTTTCTCTCTCTCTCTCTCTCTCTCTGTGTCTCTGTCTCTCCTTTACTTGAAATAGTATTTATATCCACTTAGTACAGAGCACACGGCGCAGATAGTGTACGTCCCGACGCAGTTGCAGAGAGTGCGCAACCGGAGAGACTGTCGGCGCAGTCCAGGCAGTGCCCCCTTTTCTTTACAAAGGATACACCTGGAATTCCAGAGCGCTTTACTAAGTCTCTCCGTCCCTCCTCTCTCCTTCGGGTCCTTTTTTTTTTTTACCCCCCCCCCCCCCCCCCAAAAAAAAAAATAATTCGCTAAACGCTGATCCGCACTCCCCCTCCGAATCGCCCACCGCCGCGACGTGCGATCCCGACTTCGGTATTTCCTCTGCAAGTCATCGGATAAGTAGAAGGGGCTTCGTTAACACAACCCCCTCTCTCCCCCCCTCTTCCCCCCCTCCCCCAGAAAAAAAAAGTTGAGTGCGGTACCAGTCTCTGACGGTACAATTCACAACTTTTTTTTCGCCGAGAACGGTCCTTCCCTTCTTCTGCGAGTGCTCATATCCCACAGAAAGGACATTCTGCGATGTTCCCGAGGTCCCTTCCCACTAAACACACACACACACACACACTCCTTTTAGACGGTAAAGGTAACACCGGGGGGGGGGGGGGGGGGTGGGATGGGGAGGGGGGGGTGGGAGGGGGAGGGGGGGGGTGGGGGGGGGGAGGGGAGGGGGGGGGGGTGTGTGCTGCTCGAAATCGGTTTTTCATGCCATGCAAAAAAAAATTAATAATCATAATAATAATAAATTAAAAAAAAATACAAAGCTCTGTTGTTTTTTCTCTCTCTCTCTCTCTCTGTCTCTGTCTCTGAGGACAATTTGAACAGTTTCCACAGCCCACACACCAGCCCCCGGGCGGCGGGGGGAGGGGTGGGGGTGGGGGGGGGACGGGACGACCACCCCCCCCCTACCCCCCAAGTCAGATGTCAGCCGTGTACGGGGACGGGGACGGGGAGGCGCAGTCGCTCTCTCCGGGTGTCGGGCGGCGAACTCCCGGTGCGATGTGATTCTCCACCCGGTGGTCCCCGTCCCGACGGCCGCTTTTGCGGACCCGCAGCTCCGCGCCTTCCGCGCTCTCCACGCAGTTCAGGTCGAAGAGCTTCGGCGACTCCGCTAAGTGGTTCTCTTCCCTCCGGCGACCCGAGCGGTCGCCGCTGTTGTTGCTGTTGTTGCCGCCGCTGTTGTTGCTGTTGTTGCCGCCGCTGTTGTTGCTGTTGTTGCCGCCGCTGTTGTTGCTGTTGTTGCCGCCGCTGTGATGGCGGGAGTGAAGCCCGAGGACGGGGACGGGGACGGGTTCGCGCCGCCTCGGGGCTGATCGTCTTCGTCGCTGTCCGCGTCGATGTACTTCTTCACGCCGTCGTGGTGGTGGAAAGTGAAGCCCTCGGGTGGAGGGCTTTCGGGTGGTTCCCCTCCAGACGCGGCGGTGGGGGCGGTGGCGGCGGTGGGGGCGGCGGTGGGGGGTGTCCCTGCACCGGGCAACGAGACGGGGTCCGCCGCCGCCGGGTTTTGGAGAGGGTCGACCCCGCCGACGTCCGTGAAGTTCACCCTGAGGGCTCGAGGCTTCGCGGGGAGGGCGGTCCTGACGGCGGCCATGAGGAGAGGGCTGTGCGCAGCGCTCCCGACCCCCGCGCGGTTCCGGCCGCCACTCCCACCTCGTGCGCTCTCCGGCTCCCGGTGCCGTGACTGAGCGGCTCTGCCGGAGAGCGCTGCGGGAGGACTGTGACCGGATTTGGCGGAGTCGGGAAAGTCCGCCGCGCAGCTGATGAAGCTGTCGATGCTGGACACGCTCCTCATGTCCACGACCCCGTCCCCCGGTGCGCTCAGCAGCGGGTCGGAGGGGTCCGGGATCCTCCCCAGTTCCATCTGCTCCGGCTGTCCGGCTCTCGACCCGCGACCCTTCGGGCTCGCGTTCATATTGGGTTGAGACTGAGTCTTTCCCATTTTGCTGTACATCTCCTGGAGTTTCTGGACATCCAGGTGCTGCGGACTGGGACTCGGACACGGGCTGCGCGCCTTGTCCGGAGAGCTGTGCCCCGGGTATTTAGGGTCGAGGGACCTGATGGAGCTGGTTTCGGAGGCGTTGCGCTTGCCCCACTTCAGTTTGTTGGGCGAAAGGTGGTTGTCCTGGACCTTCTCCTTCTTCTCCTCGTCTTCCCCGCCTCTCTCCACCACCACGTCCATCAGCTCGACGCTGCGAGCGAAGGCGTCCTTCATGTTCATCGAGACGATGCTCCCGTTTCTCTTGGCTCTCTCGAGCGCCTCCCTCCGCTTGATGGCCTTCTCCTGTCTCTTCTGCTCTTTGTAGAACTCCGAGAAGTTGTTCACGATAATCGGTATCGGAAGAGCAATCACCAGCACTCCCGCGATGCAACAAAGCCCACCGACTATCTTGCCCAAGAGAGTCTTAGGATAGATGTCCCCATAGCCGACGGTTGTCATGGTGATGGTGGCCCACCAGAAAGAGGCGGGGATACTCTTGAACTTGGTGTCGTCTTCATCCTTTTCTGCGAAGAACACCAGACTAGAAAATATCATGATGCCCATGGCCAGGAACAATATCAACAGCCCGAGTTCGTTGTAGCTTCGGCGCAGCGTAAATCCCAGCGACTGCAACCCCGTCGAATGCCTCGCCAACTTGAGAATCCTCAGGATCCTCATGATCCGGAAGATCTGAACCACTCGCCTGACGTTTTGGAACTGGAGCACACTTTTGTTGGATTCTGTGAGGAAAATGGTGACGTAATATGGCAAAATGGCTAATAAATCTATGACATTCAGCGGGCCTTTGAAGAACTTCCATTTGTTGGGGGACGACAAGAAGCGTAGGAGGTATTCCATCGTGAACCACGCAATGCAGACGGCTTCCACATGAGCGAGTTGTGGGTTGTCTGTGACCTGTCCGTATTCATCCATAACTTGTAGTTCTGGAAGCGTGTTGAGCGACAAGGCAATTGTGGATAACACTATGAAAAGAATAGATACGATCGCCAAAACCTGCAAGAGAAAACATTTCACTTATTAGTTCGGTGTCATTTTTAAAATGATTTTCCTCCTAATGATAATAATATTTGCAGTGCAAATTGAATAGGAACTCTGGTCAGTTAGATCACAGTTACTGATGATAATAATACTAATAATCCTTGCATTTGGTATAATAATAATCCTTGCATTTGATATAGCGCTTTTCACGTCGGGAGGACGTCCCAAAGCGCTTCACAGAACACACTGTAAAGTGAATTGACTGCATATTTGTGGGCGAACGCGGCAGCCAATTGCGCACAGCAATGTCCCACAAACAGTCGTGGATTGAAGTGACCAATTTATTATTTTTTTTCTTGAGGGATTATTATCAGGCGTGTGGAGTAAGGAAACTTGCCCAAGGTTTCGCCCTGCCTGGAATCGAACCCAGGTCTCTCGCTTGATAAAATATCACAGACATCATGTTCGTCTGGTAACACTGCACGATACACAAACTCCTGAGAAACAACAGCGACTGTAATTGTAGGACATGCAGCAAAAAGTAGAAATATTCCGCATATCCAATAAAACCACACACAAAACCTTACAAAACAATGAAATGTTTAGAGTATATGGTTTTGTTTTGCTATTATACACATACAACTGTCTCTAAACTGAGCCAAGATCAATACCATCTCTGAAATGCAATCCCTAACAATACTTTTATCAAGACGTGGCAAAATCAGATCTCTACTTTAGGAATCAGCATTTGATGGACCCACATCATCAGTTCGGCAACAAGGAATGATTAATACAGTGACAGCATCAATTTAACATAAGAGACCTCATTAGGGTCTGAGACAAGAGCAGTTTGTTGTTTTATAATAATAATAATAATCCTTGCATTTGATATAGTGCTTTTCACGTCGGGAGGACGTCCCAAAGCGCTTCACAGAATACACTGTAAAGTGAATTGACTGTATATTTGTGGGCGAACGCGGCAGCCAATTGCGCACAGCAATGTCCCACAAACAGTCGTAGATTGAAAATGACCAATTTAGTCCTATCACTGTTAATGTGTTTTTTAACCCCTTCCTCAAACTTTACCACCTTTCCAATGTAAATCAAAAGTCTCTTTGCAGAACAAAATGACTGAAGCCAGTTTTCTGACTAGGTTTGAACAGCTACTTTAATTTACAGGAGCTGAAAATCATCTTGTGGTAATGGACAGATAATGACCAGAATATAGAATGAAAGTGCATGTCCTGAAATAAGGTGATAGTTATAGCAAGTAGCACATTTAGAAAGATTAACAGCTGTAAACTTGGAGTTATCCATTACCTGAGGCAATACACAGTGAAATCCAATTCTTTTATAATTTGGGATTTTATTATCATTGCCAAGGTTCTTGATTTGAAATTTTACGGTAGTTTTGAGCACCACTTGAACAACTATGAATGAACTTGCTTGGTTGATTTGGACAAACTCAGTGAGATTTCTTCAGGGTATCAATGGAAATGATGCATTAACATACATCAACGTGCAAAAATAATGGCAGGACCTGGTGGTGCAATGTCCGTTGCCACCTGACGGCAAGATAATCCATTTTTATTTGTTTAAAAATAAATGAAATAGGACAAGAAGTTCATGACATTTATTAGCATAGATTCTAATTGCTCTGTTGAAAATTGTACTAGCAAGAACAGCCCTTAGCGATGACGAATCTTTTTGCTCTACATAGAAGATGCCCCATCGGTGGCAGTGAATGTAAGGAACAATTTCAACATGGAGATGCTCATCAATGTGACGCCTAGCCATATAGAGCAGCACATTTATGCTCAATCAGAGCCTTTTGTTGTTAACGCGGCTTATTACAAGACTGAGCCGCGGTTTATAGACCTGTACATCGCATTCTAAAAGGTCAGCCTCTAGTCACTAGTCTGTAAACTAATTACGTTTGAACTATAACTGTGTTCACCTTCATTTTTCTGAGTTTGAATTGCAACTGTACCCCCTTGTTCTGGATTCCCTGATCATCTTGAACATATTGCTGTATTAAAGCTGAATTTATCTACAGCCTTTACAGCAGTTCAAGGGAATACAGTAGTTCAATGTAATCGCCCCTAATCCCTCTTCTGTGTGAATATTCCCAATTTCTGTAGCGCCACTTTATAAATCTGTTGGCATCTAATAATTTAGCTGCTCTTTGTTTTAGCCTGTGCAAAGCCAAGATACCTTACTGTAATAAAGCAAGCCGTATTGCAAACAGAATTCCAGGTGGAGCTAGACCATTGCTCTGTACAAGTTCAATATCACTGCTTGTGACTTAAGATCTAACCTTTTAGTTAGAGGTGAACAACAGAATGCATACATCCCTGTGGGAAACCCTACCTAAGCATTGTGATACAAGTAATGTTCTCTTACCAGGGCCTGCTGTTTGTGTCCTTTGAGGACATTGCACATTATTTCAAGTCACCAGATATGCCACAAACAGTCAGCTTCTCAGTGAGGTTGAGAAATGATTTTTTTTACTTTGCTAGGAATCTTGTACTCATTGATTACACAGTCAATTGCTTGAATGGAAGCTATTTTTCTTGTGAAGGAGTGGGGCGTATTTTGAAGGATGGATTTTTTTTAAAAAAAACTAAATACACTTAGAGTGTTGGAGGTGAGAAGGGTCAATTTGTATCACTCGGATAGCACAAAACTTGAAATTAATTAAAATCAGAGATCTAATCTCGGCATTTGGATTGAGTGGGAAAGGAAACGCAGATACTTAATCAATAATAAACTCTATTTTCAGATCACAGGGACAAAAAAACTCATTTGTTACTGGCTTATCCACTGCCTTTCAAGTGTATCTGTTCAAGCAGTTGATGAAGATAAAGATGGCTTGGAATGAATGACCCACAGAGCTGTTCGAACCTTTTAGTTTGGCATCAACACTTAAAATTTGTTTTTAAAAGCCTTGCATTAGATACAGTCAATTCACTTGACAGTATATTCTGTGAAGCGCTTTGAGACGCCTCGAAGACGTGATAAAGCACTATCAAATGCCAGGATTATTACTATTTGATGTAGTCGTTGTCACATCAGGAGGACAGCATAAAACACCTCCCAAGCTATACTGTAAAGGTACTGTTTTTTTTCTTTACTCAGAGAGTGATTTACTGGAACAGGTTTCCAGGAAGGATGGTTGAGTCCAGAACCCTGTGCTTTTGTAGGCAATAATGGCATATTTATTATGATAAATCTCCTAAAATGGAAGATTTATTCCAGCCACATCATCGGTCCACATGACTGTATGCATTATGTAAATAGCTTATACATTTATTGTGCGCTTCTACACAGGATTTATTTATTTCTCCACACTGTAGTTTGATCGATGGGTGGCAGGTCTCCATTTTGTGCAAATTATTCTAAGTACACACTGACTGACTAGGGCTACCTCGAATTAATTTTTTAAAACACAAATTGTTGAGGCCATTATTCTACCAAATACCAGCAGGGATATCACAGAAATATTTTACTAAGTGCTGCAATTACAAGCTGGAAAAAAAAGAGTGCATTGAGGAACTGTTTTCACTGAACTTACAAAGGGGAATGAGGAGAATGCACTGTTTGATACAGTGTTCATCTCTTCAAACAATTGCCTGATCTACTGTCATTTGCATTTTGTTTTTGAAATAGATGGGTTTTTATTAGTGAGCGTTAATCCCTTCATCCATAATTGTACTCGGCTCATTTGAGCCTGTTGTTCCTTTCATTTTAAAATAGGAAAACATAAATGTATGTTTGCACTGGAGGGCGGTCGATGTACGAGGCCAGGAAATTCAAAGTATTATTATTACAACACGGTCTTTAATTTGGAAGCTGCTTTTCTGTCAGTTATTTTAAGAACTGATGAATTCCTGCTGATGACAGACCAGCCAACCTGGCTCAGCAATGGTTCTTGGAAAGGGCAGACTGGGTCACCGGTGGGGCAGGAATTAGGGCAGACTCCTGTTAACTCCAAAGCCCGAATGGTTTGAATGATTCTAGTTGGACAAATAGTGGGAAGCTTGCCAGATAGTTTTGAACTGGTTTAAACTCCAGCAGTACCCCAAAACACACTCTCAAGCCATGTGGGGGTGGCATACGTAGGTGGAACTATAATCAGTCTGGTTTGGACGTGAAATTTTTTTTTAAAAACATGTTACAACTATGGCTGCCAAACTTGTGCTGGTATCAAGTTGTCAGCCCACCTTATAATAATAATAGTCCTGTAGCTCAGTGGTTAGAGCACTCGCTTTGCAAGTGAGAGACCTGAGTTCAATTCCAGGCAGAGGGCGAAACCTTGGGCAAGTTTCCTTACTCCACACAGTAATAATCCCTCCAAAACCAAAAAAACAATAATAAAATTGGTCATTTTCAATCTACGACTGTTTGTGGGACATTGCTGTGCGCAATTGGCTGCCGCGTTCGCCCACAAATAAACAGTCAATTCACTTTACAGTGTGTTCTGTGAAGCGCTTTGGGACGTCCTCCCGACGTGAAAAGCTCTATATCAAATGCAAGGATTATTATTATTATTAATCATAATTAATAATAATCCTTGCATTTGATATAGTGCCTTATCAGCGCCTTCGAGACGTCTCAAAGAGCTTCACAGAATTGACTGTATATTTTGTGGGCAAAACGCGGCAGCCAATTGCGCACAGCAGTGTCCCAGCAGTCGATCAATATAGAGGCAGCTCGAAGGGAGATGCCCAAATGGTGGGCTGTCACATCCTCGTTGGACATTTTGGCAGCAATTTGAACCTGTCGCCAATAAATATTATTAATGTGTGTTAATATGGATGCCCTTTAGTCCTAAACCTGCTGTTGCTCCAATACTGCCAGGCAAAGTATTGACTACCGGCCTCCTTCAAAGTACAACTGTCCTGTTGTTGTACGTATACAATAACAAGTGCAAATGCGTTTGGAATACAGCCGCGTACAGAACCTTTAATACTGTTAAGAACACATTAGTTTTCAGGCTCCTGTCAAGCCAGATT